TAAATTTTGTCTTGGCTGGTCAGTGATTTGTTCCACATCATAAAAACTGAACACGGGAAAGTTTTCGGTGCAATGGGTGAGAGTCCTTCACCATTTGGAGCCAAGAAGTAATTTTTCTAGTTTTGTGACATTCAATGAAACATTGAACTAATAGGCCTCACCAGGGACTAAGGAATAGTCGAAACTGTGGACTTCTGCTGACCTGCTGAACCTGCTCCGAAAAGGAGGGAGACCGTGCTATCGGTCGCACTTTTCCGACAGTTTCAGAGTGCGATCTATATCGACCACCTAAGGAAGAGCTAAACTGTTGCAATGCTTTAAAATACGAAGGAGGCTACGAACTGCTGTCAAGCGACTGCTTTTTGTTTTGCACTTGAAAGAGTTGAAATATTTATCCCATGTATACCTATTTTGCATATCTCCAGAAGTAGTAGACCTAGCTCAAATTCATTTGGCTAACAAGAGTCTAATTTGAAAGAGAAATCGAAATTTTCTTTCTTCTTTAGTAGGCTAAGTACTCATTAGACCGACCTCGAACACATCACCTTGTTTGTATGAGAGCGTGCGCGGGCACTTGCGTATGGTTTAGGAATGCGGTGATTATTTTGAGTGAAATATTTTAGAAAGTCTCAATGCGGCTGCGGACGGTGATGGCGGCAATGTGTCATGACATGGAAAATCAATCATGTCACAATTTCTCAAATAAGATGTTGACAACAATTCGGATGTCAGAAAGCAATAATGTTGCACGGTCGCATATGAATGCATGTATGAGTGGACTCTGTTTTCACAGAATCATGCATTAGAGCATGCATACGGCATAACGGCGAAATGACTCACCCGAGCGGCTGCTATGTTTGTTGTTCACTTTTTATTTGTGTGTGTTATACATTTCGCACTTTGCTGAACCAGAAATAATCAACTGGCGGCAGCGTAACGAGCTTTTAGCAACATGTTGCTGCGTGTGTTGACAATGCGCACGTGTGCTGTTGCTGTCGAGAGACAAATGTCAATTGCTTTGGATATGGAAAATTATGCCACCGACCGCAATATAGGGTAGCTGGCAGGAAGGTTGCAAGGCAACAGCCGTCGGCCACACCCAAAATGTGCCAGTGCGCCACTTGATCCTGGCGCTTGCTGGTGGGCCAACAGTATTTGCTGTGTGTCTACGAAGTTGCTCTATACTTAGCCGCCGTCGTGGTTTGTTCACAGTTTTTGCCATGATTTAGTTTTCAGCCATTATTTATTGTGGCTGTGGCACCCCATTGCGTCATCCTGGTGGCAGTGGCACTCGCTGCCTGAGTAAGGCAAAAGCGACAATCTGCAGCCATATCCAGCCAGTCACACTCAGCGGTGGGTGGTGCTTATTGTGATTTTGTTGCAGGCATATTGTTTTTGTTTTCTGGTCAAATTTTAATATGCCACTTGCAACTGTAACGATACACGACCGGCTGTTGCATGCAGCGTATAACTGGTTACTTTTTAATTGCACGAAAATTATAAATCTAGCGATTGTTGTTGCTGCTCCAGAGTTGTATAGAGTGAGCGGAAATTTTCGGTTGCCAAAAAAACGCAAAAATTTGCAGTCTAAATATTGTTGTTTGTAAACATATAAAAACATATAGATATGTATGCAGGCGCTCGGGTGAAAAATCAGTCTGACACCGCCTGCCAGGTAGCCGCGGAAACAGAGATGTTGAAGACCACCCACCGCCGAAAATCTCAACAAATTTGCACTGCGGCGCGATCAGCGCAGGCTTCGGGTGCAAAGGGCAATCGCTGCGACGATATATGTATGTGTGATTCACTTATATTCAAGAAAAAAAAATAAAATTCGAACAAACAAGAGTTTATATATCTGTTTTTATGATTTATAAATATTGGTGGCAGACCAATTTTTCCGTCATAAAAGTTGAGCTGTTGTTTCTTAATTGATTGATTGTCGATCGTGGTTTTGTTACTATTGTTGTTGTTGTAAATTTACTAAATACAGAATGAATGACCGATGATTTTAGCGGAACTTGAGGATCATAGTGCCGTTAGGAGGCGTTGGTTTTGTCGGCTAATAGAGAAACAGTAGTTTTGTTTTACTGGGTATAGAGAATAGGTTACCCTCTCGTCAATATTAAGAAATACTGGTAAACTGTATTGAAACCGTAGGATTCTATGGCTTCTCTCAGTATTCCAGGTTTCGCACTGAATTTTGGTGTACGCCTCTGATTAATATCACATAAAACAAAACTTAATCAGAATATATGTATATTTCACTTTGCATTTTATTAAGCTACTATTCTTCTAAGTTATATAAAAGTTGGAAATCAAAAGGAGAGGAGGCCTTTTGAATTGCTTTACCAATTTTTTTCGAAGAACTTTCGGTGGCCATCAATCAGCTGGTAAGCATTCATAAAAGTTCTCAAATGCTCTGCTCAAGTCCGTCTTTTAAGCCTTAGAGTCAAACTTTTTGACTTGCCTTTTCCAATTTCTTCATAAAAACTTTCAGTGGCTATCAATCAGCTGATGAGCTTCCATAAAAGCTCTCAAAAGTTCTGTGTAAATCAGTTTTTTAAGCATTAGAGTCAAGATTTTTGACTTGCCTTTTCCAATTTCTTCCGAAGAACTTTCAGTGGCCATCAATCATCCAGTAAGCTTTCATAAAAGCTCTCAAGAGTCATGTTTAAATCAGCTTTTTAAGTCTTAGAGTCAAGCCTTTTAACTGGCCTTTTCCAATTTCTTCGTAAAAACTTTCAGTGGCTATCAATCAGCTGATGAGCTTCCATAAAAGCTCTCAAAACTTCTATTTAAATCAAAAGCAAATAAAGATTCGTTATGATATGCTATGCCAAAAAATTGTCGGATGCTTCTTTTTCTAGCTTATCGAACTTCCTTGGTTGGTATGTACAACTCCTAGACTATCCGGTTTGTCCGCTTCCATCAATAAACATTTTATTTTAATGACTTATTGATATATTTAAAGCTTCACAGATGCCAATTGCATACAAGCTGTAATTAATGGATCGATTACTGTATTGAGTATTTGCGGAAAACAAATTGGCCAATAGCAAATTAGTCTTTGTACATGTACTGCCTGTAGTCATAGATGACCATTCCTCTCACATGAATATGTACATTTTTATCTGCATTGCCTTTATAAAGGCGCCCGCAAATTAGTAAAACAACACCTGACTGGAGTTGGCTGCCAAATCACGTGGTTGTGGGCGTTTCAAGTGAGTCCAAGCATAAGAAAGAAAGCTAGCAAGCATGTTAAGTTGTTTACGATGCAAACGGTTTGGAAAGAGTGGGCGTAACCGCCGCAGTCGTATTACAAACATTTGTGGAATTGACTTGTGGCAGGGGCACCGATCGCACATGTATTTAATTTGTGTATTTAAGCAACTAAAATTACGGTAAATTAATAGATTCTCTGCTGCAAGTAAAAAAGAAGACGAGGAAGAAAGACATCATTGTAGCTGCCTTTTTCCCAGTTTTCCAAACACATTCCATTTTTGGTAGCACATGATTTTTGCTGCGAATGGCAATGCGCTCTCACGCTCACGCTGCCGGCCTGCATAGCATGGCGCAGCATATGCACGTGATCTTGACCACCAAACAAATACGGTTAACTTAAAGTATGAACAAATATACAAGCATTTGTGAATACTAGGCGACCATCAAGCAGGCAAATGGAAACACACGCGAAAACTAGGTGCGCGCTCCACAAAACCCTTTTTATGGCATTGTCACGTGTGTGAACCCAGCACTCTTTTTAGCTCAACTTCAGTCTGCATATTTTGACAATTTTTTCTTCTATTATTATTTTTTTTTTACATTTTTTCGATTTGTGTATTGTACTTGTTTGTTTTTGTATTGCTATTTGCTTGCACTATTGACCTCGGCATCATTGTGCCACTCAAATTCGGATTTATATTAATTTCGACAATGGATTGAAGACATAACTTATTTGTTTTGTTTGCTTATATAAGGCTTCTTTGAAAACATTACTTTTATAGTTAAATATACAATATAAACCCTTTTTTCCCTTCAACGACCCAACTCTAGGACAATAAATCCCTTTTTTCCCCTCAACGAGCGAATTCCACAACCATAGTTAAGGCATTTTTTACCGTTAACGAAGTCAATCACCTTGTGGTGAACCTTCCCGATTATTTCTTGATAAGTTTTTACATTTGGATCCTCAGGTAATCTTTAGTGTGGCAATGATTCTTTTTCTTTCCTTTAGCGAGGTCAGAAACCCTGAGATCAATGACTTTTGATTATGTTTTAGGTGTTTTTGTTAACCTTTAGTCAACAATCTTAGGAAAATTACCTTTAGTTAGGTCTATGACGTTTTTGTTTACCTTTACCGTGGTCAAGAACCCGTGGTTAATAACCTTTTTGTTTACCTTCAGTGAAGTCAACAACCTGAGATCAAATCATGTTTTCTTTACCTTTAGTGAGGTCAACAATCCTTAAGAATATCAATGAGCGATGAAGTTGTTGACTTCGCTTAGGGTCAATGATGATTGCGCTAAGGTTTCTATATTTTTGTATGCCTTTCAATAATTTTTGTCAGATGTGAGGTTAGTTTTAAAAATACCTCTTTATTTAATTTACTTCAGGCAAAAAATATAGTTCGCTGTCAGACAAATTATTTTCGAACCCTTTGAGAATACAGTGGATTGGGCCGGAAAAACATTTTTTTCACCTTTGACCATATGTATTATTATCTGTCAGAAAATTATATTCGAACCCTTTGGGAATACAGTGGATTGGGCAGGGAAAACATTTTTGCACCATTGACCCATATTTCTAAAACCTTAAAATGTACTTTAAGCCTATGTATAATTTTTTCATTATTGACTTTTGTTCCTAAAATCACAAAAATGTATTTCAAGCCTAATATATGCTTTTGTTTTAACCTAGACCGCCCTAAACTCTAAAGCAAACAGTACTGCATTTTGTTCTTTATTAATGCACATAAAAAAAGAACGGTGCATTTACATAAAACAACAATATTTTTGCAAACAAGTGAGCGGCGTGAGAGCAATGCTCACAGTCGTCACATAATTTTCTCATTGGAATTTGGAAGAGCGCCGCTGCAGTTGACATGTGGGCAGATGTAAACAAAAGTGCGTGTGCAAAGGTCAAGTGAAAAGTTATAGTGTAAATATTGTAAAACAATATCTAAAAGTACATATTAAATCGTAGTTTATTAAAAATAATGTTGGTTCCAATTACTTAAAAGAAAGTGTAAGATAAAAGCATCAGAATTAGTTGTGAGAGCTCAAAATGTGGTTTGATGAATAACTTAGCTTATGGCTGCGGCTGCTGCCATGCATTCGGTTCTGTTCTGTTTGTTTTCCTGCAATTTGTTCGTTTTTAAAAGCGTTAGTACGTTTATGTAAATAAGTAAGAAGTGAAAATACAATAATTTAGAATTTTTAGAATAGTTACAAACGGGTGATGTGTTTTGATTTAGTTTAATTTTTAAGTAAATAAGAAATTAAATCACTTCAATGCCTTTGCTTTTGAGTTTTTTGTGTTGATTCATGTGTGTTTAGATGCAATGGAAGAATGAAGTTGATTGAAGGGAAATTGAACCAGAAATTTATGCGCTGATGAGACTTTGGTGAGTACACACAATATTTATTTATATTTTTATCATAGAAAATACAGAACCTAAAATAAGTTTAAGCTACTCAAGTCAACGATTTGCCACTTAAAATATTTTAATTAAAGAAAACAACAAATTAACTGGTACATAGATATATACATATATCAAAACAATTATATAGTATACATAAAAATCACCTAGTTATAAATTATTTTGTAAACAGTATACTACATAATTCCATTTAGTAACTCGAATGTCATTTGTCTATGTTAGCAATTTTGGTCATGAAATTCAACAAATTTCAAATCTAAAATTTACCATATCAATCTCATGATAGTGGTACTAGTGATGCTGCTAGGTTAAAATACTTTAGTACAAATTGAGTTGAAGTCAACGAAACTGTCTTTTTCTTTACCATAACATGAATAAAATCTTTGGGACCAGTGGGTTAAAATAAACGAAGTTCTCCCGAATGTAAACTTGAAATCTATAATTCCTTTGAGAAATCTTTCACTATTATTACGGATACAAGCTTAGCAATGGCAACCACTACCATGATACAGCGACTACATGCAGTATACTTTGCATCGAGAAATCATATAAAGTGAATCGTTCAACACTTTTTTCTCTTTTCATTCATGAAGAGCTTTGAAATTCTTTCTGTTCAAAAAACTATTTCATTACTCAACTTATCAATGCTTTTTAGTCCTGGTAATTATCCCAGTTTATAGTCGTTTTGTGACTGTGCTGTTGGAAGCTGTTTCCTGCTCATTTTGGTTAGCTACGGATAAAACCGAAAATGATAGACGAATTTCCTAACTGTAGTCAAGGGGGGTAGTCAAACCATCACTATTTAATAAAATTATAAAAATAGCTCTACGTGTTCTAATAGTTTCGAAGTCAAATTTGTATACAAGATAGTACCTAAAATACCCCCACATTTTACCACATCAGGCGCAGTCGTTTTTCTTTAGATTTGTTCGGTAGTGTTATTGATTATAATTGAAGGTAGCTTACGCTGTTCCTGATATGAAGAGCTCTGAAGGCATTTTGATGTCAAATTACACTTCCCTCTTTGATTTTGTTGGCATTTTCACGATATTTTATATATGCATAATAGACTTCTTCTTCTATCGGGATCTTATTTTTCTTCTTTGGCTATTATTTAAAAAAAAATTCTTCAAATTCTAAGGGAGATTTCTCCAGGAATGAAATGCCCACCATTTGTTCGATTTCATCACAATTGCTGATGGCGCACAATACGCAAGCAATAACTCTGTTCCGTAAGTTCATTGATTCAAATTATACTCAAGGTTAAACTGAGGCCAAAGTATTTATGTGTTTTATAATTAAATTTTTTTTTACAAATTTATTATTTGTACGCTGGATAAAATCCCTGAATTTCATTTATGTATATTATACGTCATTACTTCTTTCTAACGCTATCACTGCCACACAAAGCCCACTAATACGACACACACAACTCAATCTCATCACGATAAAGTGTATTTGACATTAATTCACACTTGTGTGCAAAATAAGTAATAACAAATGTGTGGTGCAGCAAAGGACAAAATGCCCGAAATAGACGAAATACCAAAAAATCAGACTATCGGGCGATCAAGCAAACGGAATGCACGTCTCACGCGCAAACGGGGCACCACCACAGCGCAGAGAAATGATGGTGCAGCGTACATGGAAGCATGTCAACACCAGTTGTCAACAGCAATTACAACGCCAACAGCAGTTACAATGTGCAAAAGCGCCCGCAACAGGAGTTGCAACAGAAGCTGCCAGGCGACAAGCACAAAAAACGGTTTGGCCACAAAACGAAGAAACGCTAATAATACTGTAAGCAGACAAAAAGCCGGTAGACTGACTGACGGACAGACTGCCAGCCATTGGTGACACACAGATATGTGCCGACTTTGCGCTTGAGTGGCGGCTGAGTGACGATGTGGCATGCATACACATACGAGTATGTGTGTGTAAATGGCGCACACGGTGGACAAATGGACTGTGGCACAACATTCAGCAGCATGTTGCATGTGCACAAACTTGTTGCTGCTGTTGCGGATGCTAATGGTGGTTAGTTGATGGCAATGCTGATGACGTTGGAGTGCTGAAGTGGCGTTGGTGGGCGCCGCCACTCAGCCGCAAGTGACAATTATTGGCTACGCTGGTAGCTGATGAACGGCTCGGTGAGCTAAAGTGTAGCAGCAAATGCTTTCAGCTCTTGTTCTTGCCTCAGCCGCTGTTTGTTGGCAGCCAAGTATTAATTAAAGTGAAATGGTCGCCACCGCCTCCGGCCAGTTGTTTGTTAGCCAGGCAGGGCCGCCGGTGTTGGCGTCTATGGCGAATGCGCCATGAAGTGTGTCTCTCTAGCGTTAATTTATGCAGGCGGTGGACCGCCAGTCGCTGGTGGCCGCATTTCCGAGCCTCGAGGCTGTCTGCGCATTCGGTAGCGTTTGGTCGCAACAAATCATTCAAATTGATCGCGCGTTTTTGTCAAATTTATTTATATGGCCAACACATCTACTTGCTTGTGTGTGCAGTACATATGCGGCGTCGTACCTCACACTTCGCGGCCACATCGCTCTCGGGATGCCGTTCGGTGATATTGTGAAAGGTTGCTACGCCATGGCAATCGATTTAGCATATTTTCGCTTCAAATTATTGCATTTGTTTAATTTTTTACTAATGCGCACAACATGACTGTGGCATGCAACATGCCATATGCCATATGCCACATGCCACATCTAGTAAATGGCGTGCAATCGTTACATTCCATTTAGAAAGTCTTTCCTAGTTCACTTGCTTGGGTGGAGCCATAGCCGCCGCCGCTATAGTAGCCGCAACTCGCCACACTTGTGCGGCAACAACTCATACATGCCTGACGTTCAATCTGCCAATGTCAATTTACATTCCAAGCGATAACCCTCGCGATATGGCACGCAATGTGTCGCAAACGATGATATGCGCCAAGTCGCACATGCGCATGCGCATTCACATATCTACAAACTATGCAAAGAAGGTGTATGCAGGTTTTAACGGCATCCCACATTGTTGCGACATGCCCATGCGCCACCGTTGCGGCACGTGAATAACTGGGTCATTTAATAAATTTATGCCTAGTAGTGATTTTATTATTCTAATTCCGTCAGTTACAGTGATGACAGCCCCCGCACGTGTGCTTTTGCACTTGCGGCTGGCAGAAATGCCTTTCTCTCTTTCTGCTAGCATTTGTACGCACTTTTTCACAACTTTTTCTTTTGAGCTTTCGATTTCTCCACAGATAAAAAGTGAGCACAATAAATGTATCCGCTGGTCTGGGTCAAAAAAGTTTGTGTTGAATTGGAAATGGATCAGTTTCTTGTTAAAAGGAAGATATTGCTGACACGTGGAGTGAAGCTGACCACTATGGCTGGCTTCTATAAAAGAGTACAGCTGAAGTACGCAGAACTTTTCTAATTTGAAATCTTGTTTCCGGAAAATATGAATACCACTTCTTAACAAGTTTGGTTCTTCTTTGTCTTTATTGACGTAAATACCGCATGGTAATAGCCGAGTTCACAACAGCGCAACGCGAAGGACGACTGCTCCTTTTCGCTGTTTGGCGGCAATTGGAGATTCCAAGTGCAGTCATATCCCTCTACACAAGGCCTTTCCAACGAGTGGAGGTTTGTCCTCGGCAGGTTGAATACTCTCAGAGCTGCAGTCTTTTCTTCTATTCGGACCACATGACCTAGCCAGTGTAGCCGGCTCATCAGATGTTGTCATCGTCCATGCCTTTGCACCATATATTACTTGCAGGGTTTGGCTTTGTTCATCGAGGGAGGACTTTACTTTTCAATTGGATATTCTGTCCGAAGTAGCAGCTTTGCTGATACTAGCTAGAATATAAAAAAATATGTTAAGGAATTTTTTGCGAAATCGAAAAGTTCTTCTACAAAAAGGTTTGTGAATTATTGTTCAAGTATTTATAGGTTTTACGGCACTGGCGTTTAGTTGTTGGATCTATCATGCCCTGATCAGCCTGTCATACATATGTTAATAAAGAAAAGTTAATTCGGATTTCCTGGTCTCATTAAATGGTACAAAGAAAAAACTGGTTTACCAGAGCAAGTAAATATTGGCAAACCTTCTTAGACTGTGCCGTAGCTCCAAAGCATTTTGAGTGCAAGCCAATTTTTAGAACTCATATATGGATTAAGAACTTAAGCCCCTCGTGCAATTCTTTAGTTGAAATAGTGTGACAATTGCGAGAATTCCACACTAAACTGTCAAGTTCTTTAGTTGAGAAAAGTAAATTGCAACAATTCCTTGCGCTGGCAAATTAGTCTCGTCTTGTTAACTGCGCATCGGAGCAACTAAGTAATGTGAACGCATAGTTGTTGCACGAATGGGTAAATAAGCGCGCGGCAAGTTACTTTACGTGCTGCGGTCATACTGTCAAGCTGGCGTGCCCCGTTTACCTGTGACTTCCTTGAAATCATCTCATTTCGCAGCAATTCGTTACAGCTCATTTGGGCGGAGCGCGCGCACAAAATACCTACAACATTTAGCGGCTAAATGTGCTGCAATACCTTTATTTAGTTAAATTTTTATTATTTTTTAAAATCACAACTCCGATGTCTTGAAGTTGCACTCCGTTTCAAAGAATAGGAAAATGCTGATTTCGGCATAGCTTCAATGGTGGATGTGTATTTGGTACGCGGTTCAGTGGCGGTTGACCATTATCAGGTGTTTTCTGTGTCTCACGAATTGGTGTCGACACACACATATACGAACGCCATGTGTTCGCCGGCATATACGCTATTCGTTCGGTATTCATTTATACGCGACGTGTCACCGATTAACTTTGCCGCTACGCCTGACCAAATCTTTCAGCTGTGAGCTCGCAATATTAGTGTATTTGAGTTGTGCTGCTGCAACCAGGTCGACTGCGCGCCTGCTTGCCTCATTCACTACCGATTTGGCTATTTGGCAGGCATGAAAATGGATTTCCTTTTGCT